GAGAGTGAAAGGAATAAATGCACGACATGGTAACCGATTGTAGCACACAGCGTAAAGCAATGTTAAATGATCAGAATAACTGGAATAGAGATACCGTGTCCACAAGTAAGCAATCCAGGTTGAGCATACACCAAAGTGCTTTTTCGACTTTACACTCCCCTGGCACTTTCGTGGTTGCTAGTCTCATCGTTCTTAATCTCATAGTGGGCGGAAGCAGTCGCGTGGGCTGACACAGGTTCAGTCACACTTACCAGGTGGGTCTGAGCCCAATCAGATAGTGTGGCATAATACTGAGTGGTGAGCTCTGAGTTGGATCCCAAGCCAAATCCCCGACTTACCCCGACATATTTGGATTTGAATTTGAAAACTATAGGTCAAAGTCCCTCACAGGCATTTGGCATTAGGTTTTCACCCAACACAAAACTCCACCGAAAGTACCTCATGGTTATCCGTGTAAGTATCTCCTTCCGAGGATAACCAGCAGATTACCGTTCTGTGCTTGAGATGCAACAACAGTTTACCAAACTTAGAATGCAAACTCACATCGGATTCGCAGACGTTTGCACTCAAAATTGGCTTGGTCAGTGTGCGGTATATGCGTGCAACTTGCAATAGTGAGCTACTGTTGCACTCATGAAGACCGCATACGCGGCAATGGCGTTTTAATCGGTTCTCGACACAATGGCTTAGATTACAGCAATCACCAGCATAAACTTCGCGTTTCTACCAATGCGTGTTCGGGGGCAGAGTGGTTTACTGTGTCAGTTTTACACTGAGCGAGAAATTTGAATGAACTATGCATGGCCGAATCTCACAAAACAACCACATGTCCCATATGTCCTCCTGAACCACATCAGAGCTTATACACACAGCTAGAGAAGGTGTGGCATTTAGTTGTCGCATTGTATAGTCCCACACAGACTGCATCTCGGTTCATCTGCAACTCTCATGTTCCATCAACGCGGCCAGACATAAAGATGTTGTGATTAGGGTAAGCGAGATGAATGCTCAACTGAACCGTTTGTTTGAACCGAACGGTGTATGTAGGTTGTATATGAGTCGATGCCCGCTGTGCCGACGAGTAATTCGTCCATGTTTTCACTTAAATCAGCTCCACATGTAGAGTCCAACCAGTGACGCGCAACACAAAATGTCCACTTCGGACATAATCAACGTTCCGCCGTACCAATTGACATCATATAGTAACCCAAAATACAATGCGTACTGGAATAGCTTAACGATTAGTAACAAATTCTCCTATATTTTGAAACATTGTAATTCGTCTCCAAATACGATGTGTGCTTACGGAACTATTTCTGAGGTCCCTATGAGAAACACCTGAGTACTTTCCATCATCTATATACTCCGGAAAATTCGTAACCGAAATGATGCTGAATGACCAAGCTCTATCTGATTCTTCACTTTTGGTCGTCGAACCAGACTACCTTCCGAAACGTTGTGTTTAAATCCAGTTCACCTTTAAGCTTGTACATCGTACCATGAAAAAGCCGGCTGTGTGCTAGACAACTTCAACTTTTTCTGTTGATACTTTTCTAGATAGAATCGTTCTTGCAAGCTTGTTGGCATGTTTCTGATGTCTGTTTATCTCCATCCAATATTTGTGTTATGAGTCAGGTACACGAAGTCGGTGCCTCAAGCATGGTTAACTTTCTGGACTGAAGAAATGTTTTCTAAGGATTCTGATACCGGATGTGTGTCAAAACTGTATCAGTCTGGGATTCTCGATTCGCAACTGCATTCGAGTCCATTGCGCGTTCCACCAACTCCTTATGCCCGATGAGTTACCAAATCACGACGAATGGGACAGTCTAGCTATTTCAGCGCAACTTATCGCGTAGGTAAAATGAAAAGGTATATCGAGAAGTAAGATAGAGAGGGACAAGAACACAAAAGAGCAATTCCTCAACACATATTTCAACTGGCTGAGGTAACCGAGTTACTCTTCAAGAAAAATCATGTTCTTCTACTGATGGTTTGTTCCGATCAAAACACGTATAGAGTAGACTTTATAGGATAAAATTGCTATGCAAATCGCAAGTTGGAAGTCGGCAGATTGCTATGGATTACCACGACTGACACCTGCGCTATCCGCTGAACTCTAGCCTACCACGTATTTGTCGACTCATCTGTGTCCTCCTACTCAATTCCTCCAACCCCTGCGGTCACAACTGATAGCTCCCCGTCGTGTACCTTGCCCAAAGGGCCAAAGCGCATACCCGATATCGGCTCATAATTGCTCCAGGCGTCACACCACATGCTCTTCATTGATCCCTTCGCACCACATGGGTCAGACCTACCAATTGCTCCCATGATAAATTACCGCCGCCCTGGACACCACGCGCGTGGCGCGCGCAGGTGTTCTCGTCATGAAACGCCACCAGCACCGACGCGGTGACCATATCGGCTTGTGTGGCTCATTCGTATTCAGACGTCCAAGTTGGTAGAGAATCAACAAACTGGAATTCCGGCGATCAATACATGATTGGTGCTGAACTCCATTAACACTGACAGCCGAAGAATAGCTTGGCAGTTAGTACACAAAGGCAGAAGAAGCATATTTTCGTGATGGTTATACAGGAGAAGTTTATAAGAGACCTTGCGGTGCAGCCGAAAAACGAAAATATTTGACATGCGCCTGTGATCACCGATGGGAAAAATAAGCAGCCAGACCACTCTCGAGGCGCCCCAACAAGTGCAAACAGAAATGCACCCCACTGGTGGCGGGATTGTTGCACACTACGTTAACGGATCGGCGCAAACGCACACGTACTGCATGGGACAGGTAAGCAAACGATACGCGCCACACCTTATGTCTTGCGGTACCTCTACACCATTTCTCGGCCAAGTTGTCTTCATGGGCAACAGAATTAATCTGAGGGGGCATCCAACATGAGTCTACTCGATTAATTTGAGCCGTGCGTAGGCCACTTATTTGTGCAGGTGTGTAGGTGTGCGTGTATAGCCCGTCGACATGAGTGTCCACGACCAACTGGAGGAGGCAAGTTACGGACTCTGGTATCCGATGGCAACAACCTGCGTTATGCACAGGAGACACTGATAAGTGTCACGAAATCCTGTGCTATGTTGCAAGCGTAGTGTGTGACTGACGTAACACGGAAAAAGCAAATGCCTCATCCTTGCTACTTGGGAATCGTGCTACTGTGTCATCGCGTTGTAACGAGATGACGCAACCAAAAATGCAGACATCTCCAAGTAGCAAGGATGAGGCATTTGCTGTTTCCGTGTTACGTCAGTCACACACTACGCTCGCAACATAGCACAGGATTTCGTGACATAAGTGTCTCCTGTGCATAACGCAGGTTGTTACCATCGGATACCAGAGTCCGTAACTTGCCTCCTCCAGTTGGTCGTGGACACTTATGTCGACGGTCTATACACGCACACCTACACCCCTGCACAAGTAAGTGGCGTACGCACGGCTCAAATTAATTGAGTAAACTCATGTTGGATGCCCTCTCAGATTAATTCTGTTGTCCAAGACGACCACTTGGCCGAGAAATGATATAGAACACCAAAGACTTACAAATATGGCATCCGCTAGCATAGTGGTTCTCAACCTTGGGGTAATTACCCTTAAGAGGAGAAAATGCGATTTTACATGGGGTAACTATAAATATGAGGATTGGGTCATCAATCTGTCGCAAACAAAACCATATGCATCAAAACATGTAGCTAACTACCTAGTCACTATTGATTACCCATCAGTGACTAATCATTATTGAGTGGTCGGTAAATTAGACAATTTTCGGTAACAAATTTTATTACCTAAAATATCGATACAAGCTTGTAAAGCACCGCAGCTAGATGACGCCTCTATCGGTTCGCTCGTCCATCGTTGGAGTCAGGTCGAATTACAGAGTAGAGTGAACATTAAGGTGGACGTATATGTAACCCGACCAGATAAAGGAGCGAGCGAATCTTTGCAAGGCCGAAGGGACAAAACAGGCCATTCGTGTTCAGGACGTATCGATGCAGCTTTGTAGTGGGAAGCTGTTACCAATAGAGGAATTGGAAGAGATGGTTACAACCAATGAGTAACCACTGATATCGGTCCATGTTTGATCAGAAATCACATAGCAAAGCAAGGAACCGATTGAACTTGGAGCACGACTTACGATGTGCATTAGTGCAAACCACACCAAATATACCATAAATTGTTGGAATTAAGTAATGTCAATCGCCTCATTAACGCACACTACCACTTGATGTAATAAAAACGGCTCAAAGTAGGTATTTTCTCTATTTAGGTGATAAAAGCAAATTTAAAATGATATTCGTTTTCCGTAATTTAAAGCAGAGAATGCATTATCAATGGTTAATTAGCCTTCAAACTAAATTGTTCGGGGTAATTGTTTAACATAAACTCACTCACTGGGTAGTAATTTCAATAAAGGTTGAGAACCACTGGGCTAGCAGGAGTAAAGTAGTTTTGGAAATCAAAACGATGAAATCGACTGACCATTGCCTATGAGGCTGACCGGGACAATTGAGCAAGATTCTTTGTAATCTACTTTTCAGCAGGATTTTGGAACTAAAAGTGGGGGACAGGAAACTCACAGATAGTTGGAGCAACTCAAATGTTTGAAGCGGGATAAAAGCCAAATTACCTGAATTGGGGAACGGAATGCATCTCACACTGCTCAAAAAGGTGTTTCGCGTCACTACGGTTATAGTTACTTGCTAATGCGTGGTCTAGCCAGTGAATAGGTGTTCATTGTGAATATCCCACGGATCGGAAACCCAATGTGTGAAGCCTAGCTCATACCAAGAAAGTGTGTGTATTGAAATAAGAGCAATCTCCGGCAAAAACGTCAAGAGTACCTGATGGTTCTTATGTCATTCAGCCACGAATTCATGCAGTAGTTCGGAAGTAATTAAATCCGAAGATTTTGAGGACTCCCTGAGGAAAGTTCTGGAACTGAGGAAGCAGTATTGTTTCACTGTTCTCAGAAATGCCCTCACAAACCACCTCCAGTCTCGGACGAGTTGCGCCGGAGCAGCTGGAATCGCAACTTTAGCACCTCTCGAATAAACAACCAAGCATGCGCTAGCGCTACCAATACACCGAGCACGCAGCACAGTAGGGTTATCAAGAAAGTGGGATGGGTGATCAGACAGCGCCCAGCAATAACGCTTCCGGTGATGGAAATCGCCGCTCCGAAAAACAAGTCACAAATGATGGAGATGAGCATAAGAGTCACAGGTGGGACTCGTTCTTCCATGTATAGGGAAATCGCCAACACAGCTGCAACAATGAATGATGAGCAACACCACAACCCGACACCGTAGCACTGCACAACGTTTGACTGAACGATGGAGACCATCTGAATAAGGCAGCAACAAATTCCAAGTATAATGTAGATGAAAGCCACACAAAGAGTGATAAGGTCCCAGTCAAATTCGTCATCATTGAGTAAAAGACAGTGCTTGATGGGATCAGGTGAATCGACATTTAGCGCCTCGCCCAAACGAATCACCTTGGTTTTCGGCATGAATTTAATTTTGCTTTGTATGTTACGCTAAATCTCTCTGTCAGATACCGTTCAGTTATTGCCAGACCCTTGACTTGGGTAGTGAATCACTAAATGAACACTGGAGGCAAGCGTTAGTTTCTCTGCTTGATACGAAGTCGATGATTGGTTGTGAATGTTTCATACAATATCAAGGTGCAGTGAAACTCACACGAAGTGCGAATCAGTAAAGTGGGCTTGGCGGCACACAACAACTGCTTTGATTTATAACGAGTAAAGTGACGAGTGCTTGAAAATTCTCGTGGGATGGTTGGGTTGAAATCTGAAAAACCAAAAGGTGTGTGAATCTTCAGTTTAAGCTTCTGTCGATTCAGCTGCACTGCTGCATACCGATTGTCAGAAATGAGAATTGAATAGCAACATACAAAACAACATGGGAAGCAGTTATAGTTTACCTTTGCCATGTGTAAAATGTAACTGAAAACGCTCACTCATACGTAGCTCCCTGGGACCTATGTGATACGTAAGTCCGGTAGGAGTACATCATTAAGTGTTCCACAGTTGTAGCAGTCTGAAGATTCCCCGGTTTGCTTGTGTAAAATTCTAACTACATTTTTCAGTTCATTGTACACAGGCGAAAGATGCGGATTGTTGAACTGGTTGTTGAGTCCGGATGCTTGAGTAGAGCATCGCTTTTTGCTTGTTGCTCGTTTCGACTGTAACGCGCGATCGCTCCTGTGTGTTGTACATTTTCGTTTCTACAGCTAAATGTGTTCAACAGTGTCGTCTTATTATATCTAGGCAAACAAGGAACCTTCCGCCGTAAAAATAGAATTTTCCGTGCAACACGATCTGTCTTTTGAAACCGCTATCCGCGATCCTGCTAAATTGGTGACATCGAGTTCGGAAAAACCTCAACGCAGAATATTTCGAACTTTGCTTCAGTGAGCCGGTTCCATTTGTTTTTTCTTAGTATCCGGTTTGTTGTTGCATAGGGTAAAATATATTTTCGTATCCAATTTTAAATCATGGATGCTATACACCATAGGGTAGTGTTTCCCGTTAGCGTGGTATCTCTCTGTCCCACCTTTTTGAGGCATGGATGCTCTTTGGTGATTTACTTATTTAGTGGTAGAACTCTATAACCACAGAAATACCAAAGACTACGCTAACTACAACAAACTCATGTTGTATCTTTCCAAGGAGATGTCGATGCAGGTTCGAGATGTTAGCACTTTTCAGACCGGAAACCGCTATGAGGTGCTCAAGTAGGCCACGATTAAGTGTGTCATGCCCTCTGATAAAGTAAGCCTGAAGCAGCTTTTCAGGGATCTGCAGATGAATGACAAACTGCCGTGGTAAAATTCGGGAGTAAAATGGAGACGCAGCGTTAAGTGACAAAATGTAAGTGTGTGAGTGCATCGTCCAACCGTCTTTTAACTACTGTTAGTGTCGGTGCAGAGACGACCGATTCTGGGATAGCATTCTATGGATGACAGACACGAATGGAAAAGAAATTGCTGCGACACTTCAGACGGCTATACTGGTCTGCGAGTTTCAATGAATGGCCTGTCAGGTTTGTATTGCTGCTGTGTTGCAGTAACAGGTGGCACACATGACGTGGGTCTCGCGGAATCAAGTATACCATAATCAGGTCGCCTAGTAATCTGCGATAGCGCCCGCCGGATACCCCTAACGGTTTCAGCCTCCCATCGTATGAAAGATTTCGCATTCCAATTACGTTATTAGATGCCCGACGTTGAGGCTGCTCCAGTGTATTAAGGTCGTATTTCAGCTATGGATGCCAGGCATGAATTGCGTATTCGACATCTGTAGCTTTTTATTTGTCCAAACGTCCGTCGCAACAGCCCGACGTGTTGGTTTCCAGTCGTCAAGGCTTTTTCGGATTGTCTGGAGCAACCCAAGTCATCTTGAACCAGAACACCCAAGTCAAGTCCGACGGTTGATTGTTGCAGTACATTCATTCCGAGCCGGTATAAGGGGCTATTCTGATGTCCGATGAAAAGTACTTTGCATTTACTAAGGTCGAAATGTTGTAAATTTTGGGTTGACCATTAATATGCCGTGTCTAGGCAACTCTGAAGTAGATGCTGGTAGGCGTTCGCCTGCATCCTGCGCCAGATCTTGATATCGTTGGCAAACATTAGGAAGTTTGAAACGATTGCCTGTGCGAGGTCATTAAAAAACACCAAAAACAAACGTGGACCTAGTACTGAGCCTTGCGGCACACTACACTCGACTTGTATGGGGTCCCATAAAAAGCTCCGAACTCTGACCACTAATTACCGTTGAAGTAGAAAGTTGGCAATCCAGCTTAGAGAAGAGTCACCGACCCTGTAATGTTGGAGCTTAGAAAGTAGTATCCGATGGTCTAGACGATCGAAAACATAAGAAAAATCCAGGTAGATCACATCAACCCTTTCTCCAACGTCAGTTGACTCAGTCCAACTACTGCGTGCCATAAGTGAATTCGTTGTGCATGACCGCTGTCGAGAGAAGCAGTGCTGCTCAGGCGTGATGATGTTATAGTCTTCCAGCTAACACACCAGTGCATCGACAATAGATTCCATGAACTTGGATAAGAAGAAGGGATAAGTGGCGGTAGTTTGAGGGCTCAGTTCTGCTTCCACCTTTGTGAATCGAGGTTATTATTCCAAGCTTTCACATGGCGGGAACTTGGTTATGGTCTAAGCAGTGTTGAAAAAATTGAGTTAAAGATCCTGCCAGTTGGCTTGCTGCCGCTACTAGTGCCTCTGGACGAATCGTGTCGACACCCGGCGAGCTGTGTTTGCGTAGAGACGTCAGCTTTTGCAATATAGCCTTCGGGGTAAAAGTAATGTGGGTTAGTCCTGGCGGACCGACGACAAAGTTTGGAAGATCGCTTGGTGGCAAGACCCTTTGAAACGTGGGGGCATATTGCATACGCAGCGCTTTGCTGCTTCCACAGCCGTGCTTGTTGGGCCATCGGTCACCCTGAGTGAAGGAAATCCCTGTCTCACCTTTCGTAGACTATTAAAGTGCTCGTACAGCAGTTTTGGTTAGCACTGAAGGTTTTTGTGATGTTCTGCTGAGATGCGGCTTTGTCTTCTCTTAACAGTTGAGTACAGTGGTTACGTTGGGCCACGTAGTTTTGCCACGTTTCTGGTGTTGGAGTATATCTGTACACTCACCATGCTGAGTTGCGTACTGTCATCTATTTTCGGGTTCTGCTCATAACCAAAGAAACTGATTTGCACTTATTGCAAGCTTTTATCTCTGAAGCCTATGCAAGCAGTTGGCTGAACTAGTTGACGACCCTGAGTCAGGCAGCTTTCGGGGGTTCTTCGTCGAGGAACGACCAAATTGTAGCGTTGACGAGCTGGGCTAATCGATCGCAGCTTGTGATGGTTCGCACAGTCTCATCGTTCAAATTCCGATATTCCACATAGCAGACGAAGTTGCTACTGATGACTGCGTATTTACTTCAAGCCAACGGGCAGTATACAGCCAACACATCAATCATCTGCTCTTCGTTGGTAAGCACAAGATCCAGCAGAGATGGCCTGTCACCTGTTCTGAACCGAGTGGGCAAAGTGATGTGATCGTAAAGAGGACCATTGGTTACGAGCTCTTGTAGATGGGTTTGGAATTGTTCAATCGTGGCAGGGGTTGCTCAACAATGTACATTGAAATCATCCATGATAAGGATGTGAGTGTACGTTCGCTTTAGACTGCTTCTTAAAACAGCCGCAAGGTGGTAGTCAGTTTCGAGTGTAGAGTTGGAGGGGGGTCGGTACACCAAGACAATAAGGCAAGCGTCTCTGCCTTTGAATTGCAAGAGACATCAAAGAGAATCGGGGAACTGCAAGTCTGAATTCTCCACGGCTCCGCACTGTAAGTCGCTTCGGTAATACAGAATTACGCCTCCTTCATTTGTGAGTCAATCGTTCCGGATGACCGACATGCACGGTAGCGAAACTTCAGCGTCCGTCATTCCCGTGTGCAACCACGTCTCAGTGATACGATGATCTCATATGACCCGGAAGCTTGGCGATCTTTCAGTTCGACCAGTTTATTAAAAAGACAGTGAGCATTCGTATGCAATCAGGCCAGTTTCTCGGTCTTTAGGAGCCCACAGAGGGGGTGTGGGGGTCAAGGGTGGGAGAATGCGAACCGATGGGAGGCCGGCAGTTACTCGTATTTGTGATGGGATAATGGTAACTCGTCCGGAAGTTGACCGGCCAAGGTGTGTCCCAATCTTCGTTTAGACCTACATCAGAGGCAATTAGAGCAGCAGTTAAGTTACGTTTCCGTACCTTTGTCGGTACGCTTGCAGCTTCAGGCGCCTTAACATTTGAACTGTGCAAAGCTTCTGCGACCTTTAACCGAAGTTCAGAAGGAAGACTTTTCTGATTTCACCGCCATCGATCCAAAACATCCGCTGCTTTTTGCTCTGACTGAATTACAAGTTTTAGGATTCTAGGGCCGCATCCTCTATAATTTGGAGAGAGGAGGTATCCTGGTGAGCGATAGCGCCACAACATTATCCAAAGAAACTGTATCATGAATAAACCGCCACTGTGCTAAATCGTGCTTGCTGGCCTCTTGAACATCCTTAAAAGTATGCTCTGGCACGCAATGTATGAAGATTGTGTTTAGGCGCTTTTGGTTACTGTGTCCCTCTTCGGTGTTTCTCTTTGATTGTCGCGCGCTCCGAGGGACATCAGGATAGATGCGTACCCACAGGATCCGTGTCTTGAGGAGAGCAAAACTTTTTCTACATCGGTGGAAGATCCTAGTGTTACTCGAATAAGCTTGGGTTTTCCATAGTGTGGCGAATTCGGATGGGTTTGGCTTTGACACTCATCAGCGCGCATAATGAGTTCCATTGGTCATGGTCGTCCGATAAGTTACCACGCAATGTGTT